ACATCACATGTGATAATATGTAAGAATAAGACGAAATTCCATATGCTCATGCTCATGAATGTTTGGATGATGCTTGTGCTCATGAAATGAAAGTGCCAAATGCAATGCTTAACACTAGGGTGTTATAGTCGGCTCGGGTGCTGGCATCGATGGGAGGAGAAATAGCAGGGGAGAGGATAATGTTGTGTTTGCAAAACGAGAGCAGGCGAGAGGGTAAGACTATGCTAGATCCATAGGAATGAAGAGACGTGTAAATAAGCATGGTGCGGGATTTCTTTTTTATTCATAAGGGGATGCATTTTGATAGTGGGCAAGCCATCTGATTCTGGCTGGGGCGCTGGACGCCCTAAGCGTAGCATTCCCGATAAAGACCCAGCAGTGGCATTGTAGTAATAGAGGCCTCGAGGGCCTCAGCCCTCAGGGCGCTGCAATTCTTTTAGCGGCGATGGAAAAAAATAGTTATAGTTATCAATTATCATATAGCAATATCGTCTTTTTGGTTTCCTTAGCTATATAAACAAAAAAAATTACCAAGAGATCAAATCCCATGTAACTAGCTATTGACTCGGGGTTATAGCTAAAGTTGAACCGAGCCTGGTTTGATTTTTGAACTCGTACCTGAAACTGAAGTTGGGCTCAACAGATGCCGGGAGGGTAGGGATCGGATTATCCAATCCCATTTAGGCTAGGCCAGTGATATTCCATTCTCAATTTACCAAACTTTTTAATTGTCTCTCGATTTACTAAACTTTTAAATTATCGGGGTCAGTTAAACACGCCTAGATCCACCCCTGCTCGATCACGGTTAATTTTTGATGAGCTTTTGTTATTTCTCAATTAATTAAACTCTCGCTGAGACGCTGACCAAACTCTATCGACAATGACAAGGGTCAGTCATTAACAATACTAATGATCTCTGTACAGCCATTCTATATTCTATTTGCAGATGAGACAACAAGTGAAACACCACAGCGCCGCATCATCCACCATCCGTGCCAGTAAAATCCACACCATCTCTGAATTTTTTACTTTTTAGTCCTTTTTGAAAGTTTCTCATAAATAGACATCTGAAGGCAAGATTTCAGAATATGGACCCTTAGATCGGCGCCATCGACGCTGGCGCCGAGCTAACACGTCTCGGCGTCAGCGGCCCTGGCGCCAAGATCCTGGGCTCGAAGCGAACGTGGAAGGTGACATGGCAGGGAGCTCGGCGCCAGTCACTCTGGCGCCGAGCTTGGCGCCGTAGATCTTGACGCCAAGCTCGGCGCCAGAGTGACTGGCACCAAGCTCCCTGCCATTTAACCCCGGCCTAACCTTCCTGCCCTAGCATTCTTCCTCTTCTTTCTCCTCCCTCTCGGGTTTTTTCTCTCCCCACTTCATCCTACCGCACGAATCGACATATTGGACCTTGGAAACTTTGATTTGATCCATAGATCTTCGAGAGCAAGGTATCCTCGCTCCCCTCCTAGTTTTTTTCGCATCGATTCGGTATATATTAGTCGGATTTTTGAAGGTAATAATCGTCATCACTTAGAGTTTCATTCTATCCCTCAATATATGTATTATACAACCGTAGGATGATGTCAAGGCGTGAAAAGGCTAGCAAACCTAGGCGCATGTAGTTATGTTATGGGTTCATTGTTGTGCATCAAATTGGAAACCCTAGGTTTAGGGTTTAATGTTAACTGCTTTCGGTTCTTAGAACGAAATTGGTTGTATTGTAGTTATGATTCTCATTGACATTTATTTGTGATGTTTTGATTTATGTTTGTTAAATTACATCCGTTTTGTTAGATGCAAGAAATGTTTCGGGAGGAGTTTTGACGAAAACGGGGTCGTCCTCGAGAATTATACCCTGACGTGTCTAGCAAAGATGCCCCCGTCCCTCCTGACCTCCCTGTCCCTATCTGTGACTGTGGTTTCCCGGCCCATGTTTTTCAATCGAAACATCCGGACACAGCGACGCGTTGCTTCTACACATGCAATCGTTTTAATGTAAGAAATTGTTTTCACTATCTTTTTTCTTTATTTGTGTAAGTATGCTACTAATATTTTGTTGGAATCTCGTTGTGTAGGACCATGAGAGGTGCTTTTTCTTTTAGTGGATCGACGGTGTAGACAAGTTTGATCCTAGGTACCTCCTTTTCGATGATTAGTTTATAGGGAGACATCCACGTGAGCGCTTCAAGCGGTGGGTTCCACCCCCCCTAACCCTCCACCAATGACGGCTAAGGAGAAGCACCTAGCCGTAGTTAGATGACTCAAGGAACCTTCTATGTGCGATTACGGAGATTGAGCTGTGATGAACCCTGAGAATACACTAAAGTTTGTGTGTCCAAACAAGCATGAAGTAAGTGCAAAGTGTATGTGTTGAAATCTTGAGCTATATGTGTTCATGTACTAATGTCTCCTTATTTATGTGTTTTCAATAGCGAAGTGTCGTTTAAAGGAGTGGTTGTATGGTCCTAAGAACCAATGGGCGGAAGAACCGCGGAAGGTTAAGGAACAGAAGAAAGGGTAATCTACAAAGCACCTCCTGTCATGTGCGAATGGAGTGTTAAATCTAACTATGGCCTAGTCCATTCGGAGCTTGGAATATGTCATTATTGTGGCCATATAGTTGAGTACGATGAGGTTCGTTATTTTTGTGGTAAACATGAAATCGTATTTTGTTTCTTTTGCTAAGACATATATGATATAATATTTCTTTTGAACAGAGCACTAGGAAATGCAGGTGAGAACGTTACGATGGTCAAGCTAAGTTCTTGGATGAACTGAAGAAGAGGCAACTAATTGCACGGAAGAGGGGATATGAACCTGACTACGTCAACCTATTCGTTAAACATCACAAAGAAAATATGCGTAAGTTTGCTAGACAGCGCGGTATTTGTAAAACATAGTCTCCTGTTACTTCACGAACACATGTACGCTCACCAAAATTTGAACAAAACATATGGATTATTACCTGTCCCAGCGCTATGAGACGTCCTCGGTGGGTCGCCTCGTACATCGGGTCGAGCAGGTGGAATTGCGTCATCCTACAAAAAAAGTGAATGAATTAGAATTTCAATATACAATGAAACATGAACTTAGAAATGTATAAGTAGTTGACACAAATACAAGCATAAATTGAGACATGCATAATTAATTAAATTAATACAACAAATATAAAATAATAAAATCAACCAATAGTCGCACCTCACTAATCTGCCAATGGCATCGAGAACCGTAGGTGCAATCTCCACATGCATATATGGTTCCGGAACGGGAGGGTTGATGTGTGCCTGCTGATCCATTGGTGGGGAAAACCCATAAGGGATGGGATCAACTAACACCTGACGCACAACCACGTCCAAACATTACAGCTGGCTCTTCATAGCCGATCTCACATAGTTCTCCCACTGATCCGCACAACCAATTGAGATCATTCGTCTGAGGATGTTGGGAGGTGAACCTAGGTGCAGTACATCATCAACTGCAATGCCATCATCTCCAAGGCAATGCAGCTCCTCCCGAGCTCTTGCAACCATCTCAATAAATAAAGGCCTATCATTGAATAGCACAGGCACGCTTTGCATATCAACAAACTCAACATATCCATAGCGATCGCTTTCAATGGTGCATCCATGATATATGGTCACTAGGTTGTTCATCTAGTTCAAACACGTAACGAAACACATGTCCTTTGGTCCAAATTAGACGATAGATAATACCTAACAAGTACTTTCTAACTACAAACTAAGTAAATAAGATAATAACTACGTATATATATACAGAGCTAGATCATATTTAGTTAACTAAATATGCAACTATATCTAAGTAGCTATCTAACTATATCTATGTACATATGTATCTATGTTTCTATCTATCTACATATATATCTCACTAGATCACTAACTAAATCAACTACCTGAGTCATCACATTAACTAGTAAATAACAAATGCCAACTAAGTAAGTACATTGCATATTCATAATTTTTACCTTTCCAACGACTAATCCGCAGACATCGACGGAGTCGCTGCGGACGACGGACGTGGGTTAGGCCAACGATCCGGGCCGGCGGTGGCACGGCCGGCCGCTGTAGGTGGCGCGGCCGACGACAGCGGTGGCGCGCGGCGGGCGCGGGATGCCCGGGGTTCCGCGCGGCAAGTCCGGCTCGATGGGCGCGGGAGGCACGGCGGCCACGGCCGAGGCCGGCGGTGGAAGGCGGCAAAGTGGGGCGAGGCCAAGGCGAGGAGAGGGTGCGGCGCGGGCGCAGGAACCGGCGAGGGAACCGTGGCGCGGGCGGAGGGGCGGCGGCAGCGACGCGGCGCGGGGGGCCGGCGCGGGCCGTCCGCGGTGGCCTAGTGCGGGGCGGCCGCAGTGGCGCTCGGCGGGCTCGGGCGCGGGCGCGGGCGGCGGCAGCGGCGGAGGCAAAGCTCGGCTCTGCTATGCTAGGGCGAGAGAGGGAGAGGAATAGAGGAAGAGAGGGGCCGGGCTCATAGGTAATAAAGGCTCGGCGCCTGTCACTCTGGCGCCGAGCTTGGCGCCAAGATCTACGGCGCCAAGATCTACAGCGCCAAGCTCGGCGCCAGAGTGACTGGCGCCGAGCTAACACATCTATCCTGGATTCGCCGAGCTAAGAGTCTATATTCTGAAATCTTTTATTCAGGGGTCTATTTGTGAGAAACTTTTTTAAAAAAAGTGCTAAAAAAGTAAAAAATTCGAACACCATCTCTGCAACCATTCGTCGTCGCTCCCGCAAATTAAAATTCCTCAGCTGTCTGCTCCAGCCTCCAGCCATTCCTGACGTCGTAACCCGTGACGGAATCGCTTTGGCGTACGCGGGGTCACCACACCAAAAAACCAAGCCAGGCCACCAAACCATCGCAATCTCCTCCTCCATTCGCCCTCCCTCCTCGCTCGCTCCTGGCGTAGTACGTTCTTGCGTGCGTTGACTTGGCGGCTCTGCTCCTCTCCTGCTTCTCTTCTGTGAAGACGACTGAAGAGCGGCCGGCCAATGGAGGAGGAGAGCGTCACGTCGCCATTGCTGCAGGAGGAGGCGAAGGTGTACCACGAGGGATGCCCGGGCTGTACCAACGACCGGAGGAAGGAGCTCCAGGAGGGCCTGCCGTACAAGGAGTTCTTGTATGTCTGGGCCGTCTGCCTCGCGACTTGTAAGGAGTTTCTCTGTCCTCCCTGTCCCTGCATGCCCTTGTGTATGAGCTCTTGGTGTTGTATGAAAGGGCCGCTTGGTTGACATCCAAAATTTGTCATACCAAAAATTTGATAAGCCAAAAGTTGGACAAAAACATTGCCATAGATTTGACAAACCAAATGTGAGAGCTTCACAAGTTTTGGTAGCAAACCAAGTACTATCTAAAATCATGGCTCGCCAAATCCATGGCAAATTTTGGAAGCTAACCAATCAGCCCCAAAGCTTCTGTTTTTAGGCACCCACAACTGTCTAATTTGGTTATTTGGGGTGATCAGATATTCAGTTGTAGTACCAACAGGCAACAGCATAGTCCGCACCGGTAGTACCAGTACAGTACTAGCTAAAAAGGCCCCTGCTTACATAAGTCAGGGGTACTTTCCTGTACATGCACAATGACATGTAGACTCATTTGTCAACATGTGGACTCATTTGTCAGGGTGTGTTTAGGTAGCCTCCTGAAAATGCTGACATTGAAAGAGTTTTATGGATACTAAGAATTATTTGGTTTTATGAATGATTCTTAGTTGTGGAAAATTATGCACAAACTCTCTACAATCTACTTAAACACCAAAATATCAATATTCATTCACTATAAAAAATATCTTAGGACACACCCCAACTCATTTCAGAGGACAGAAAAAAAAATGTTGCCTCTGTTAATGCATAGGGACGCACAAGCAACATCTGCATCTATAAAAGGATTTTCAGAGGCAAAGGACTAAAGAGGACTGCCTCATCCGCCTCTGAAAATATCCTAGACCATTATATTAACTAACCCTATCCCTTTAAAGAGTTTTATGGATAACTGAAAGGTGCACTGAAAGCTGCTAGAATTAACCTTAGTGGATAAAAATAATATTAATAAATATAGCCATAAGCACATATTGATCTAGAAGCATTATTGGGAACCCTTTATTTTATAATTCTTAACATGCACCTCATTATATTCTTTTCGCACACATATATATAATTGCATATTTAATACTTCATATTTCCCCTGCCTATAATTTTTCAGCTTTACCGGTGTCATCATTATTCCCCTTCTTGTACTTCATGGTACGTATTTCATCATGTCCTCTTACCCTAATAACTAAAGATATTTTTCTGGTTACTCTACAGTAATTGCTAACTAATATTATATAGCACTTGATCCGTAAAGATTATTCGATCCATTCATGTTTTATCATACATATATACATACACATGTACGTGCACATATTTGAAACATTTTTGGCTAACAAGTTTATCACTTACTAGATTAGAGACTTGCATGTTGCAAAAAGAACAGAAGACATTGGATTCTATGCTGGATTTGTGGGTTAGTCCGCATAATTTTTGTTTCTCATTTGAGATATTCTAGTATAAATGGTGTTTTGAACTTTTTTTTATGGATATTTTCAGGTGCTTCATTTATGCTTGGTAGATGCTTGACTTCAACTGTGTGGGGAATAGCAGCAGATCGATTTGGGAGGAAGCCAGTTGCCATACTTGGCGTTGTCTCTGTGTTAGTAAAAGGAGTTGCTTCTAAAACTATTGATTAAAGTGTTATTTTATTTAAAGGGCGTACCCAGTGCAGAGAGCTCCCGCCCTATGCGGGGTCTGGGGAAGGGTGTCAGTGGCAAGCCTTACCCTCGCCTGTGCAATGCGTTATTCTCATCTTTTTTTTTCCTTTTTATACTGTGTTCCCCTAACTTAATTCTTGTTAATATTCAGGGTCGTATTCAATACTTTATTTGGGCTTAGTACTAGTTATTGGATGGCAATAGCTACAAGATTTCTCCTTGGTGCTTTAAATGGTTTGCTTGGGCCAATTAAGGTGCTGTGAATTGGGGTTTTGTTTCATGTGAGATGTATTGCACAACTAATATACTTATACTAATGTGTAATTTCACAGGCTTATTCTATCGAAGTTTGCAGGCCTGAACATGAAGCATTGGGAATATCACTTGTAAACAAAAGACTACATTGATGAAATCTCAACTTTTCTTGTTCTATTTATATATTTTTTATTCTAAAGTTCACTCCTTGTAACTCTAGGTCGGCACAGCTTGGGGTATAGGTCTGATCATTGGGCCTGCTCTAGGAGGCTACCTTGCACTGGTACTGTAGACATCCAATAATTTTAGGCTGTCAACTGGAAATGCATTATGATCTAATTATATTATGACAGCCTGCAGAAAAATTTCCAAACCTATTTTCACCTGACTCATTCTTCGGGAGGTATTCTTTCTTCAGTGAAGATTTTATTATATTGTGTAACATACTTGATTTTTAGAATACTTACATTCAATAGAAACTTGACAGGTTTCCGTATTTTCTGCCATGCTTATGCACCTCACTCTTTGCTACTGTTGTTCTTGTGAGCTGCATATGGATGCCGGTACGTGAGATTGCATTAGTTAGAAATATTAGCTTTGGAATTAGAAATATACTTAACGAAGGCTGTTTGCTGACCTTAGTGTACCTTACTGATCAATCTACAACTTGTACATGAAGTTACAAAACAAACTTATCTATTGTAGTTGCAAATGATTTCATCTGATTACATCCATGATCAATCACAATACAACGATCTATCAAGATTACATAGAAAAAAATCTCAACTATCTTAATAGACAGTATGCCTCCTTTAACTTTCATAAAAGGTCCTAACAATTTGAATTAGCCCCCTTGCAAAATAAGTAAGGATGAGAGTGTCTAGAAATTTCCTTCCCTAGACCTCACATTGTGTAGAAGATATCAGCACAAGCTGCACCCTGCTTCTTCTAATGAAATGTAAACTGAAGTAAAGCCTGAACAATGAGGGGGAAAATCACGTTTTAACATATTTGATTTGTACGATGTTGACCTTTTGTCCCTCAAATTTATTCTTCCTCATTCTATAGTAAATTATCTTGGATGTATTTTAGGAGACATTACACAAGCACAGAGTTCACCAGAATGAAAATAAAAATGTTGAAGCTTTGGAGGCCCACCAGAGTGACTACAAAGAGAATGCTGAACAAATTGCAAGTTTGGGCGACAAGAAGAGTTTATTCAAGAATTGGTCCTTCATGTCATCCTTAATTACATATTGTGTATTTTCCTTTCATGATATGGCTTATTCAGAGGTACTATTCTCGATCTCAGTTTCTTATTGTTTTCGAGTACTGAAATGTGATGGCTAATTATGCATTCACCAAAAACATGTGCTAAATGTACAATATAATTAGTAGGCACAGGTAAATATGTCTAGACTAACATGACACAGATAGAGATGGACTTAGTATAACAAAATATAATGTGTTCTTAATAGTATAATTATCTTTGGATGGTTACAGTTACTGTGGTGCCTGTAGTTAACTTTGGATGATTCTGCAATTAATTGAACTCTTGAACCATTTTACGTATTGTGAGACATAGTATTTGATGTTTTCAGCATTGATTTTTAAGTGGAACAATATGTATTAATTGTAGCTATAAGAAACGAGTTATCTAGATGTTAGTATAACACAATTTTTATTTTTTAGCCTATAGAATATATGTCCTAATAAATCATAATATGCAATCTGTACATGTCATGACGCAAGACCTTATCTCAAAAAACTTGTAGCCACAAGAAAATTTGACTTGTGGTGTCCAATGATAGATCTACTACATTAATACTACAACACATGTAATAAGCAAACCTTAGATTTTGTCAGTAGTTAGATTATTGATATCATTTGAAGTCAACTTCAGGTGTTCTCTTTATGGACTGAAAGTGATAAGAAGTATGGTGGCCTCAGTTTATCATCTGAGGCTGTAGGTCAAGTTCTTTCAATTACAGGTAACATTTCTTTTAGTACCTTCACCAGCCTTGCTAGTGTAATGTATGTACTTTTTTTTTTCATCTCGTGTAATGTATGTACTTACCATTCTGTCAAACTTAGGTTGCTAGGAAATAATTGACCTCAACATTGTTGGCCTACCCTGCCAGGCCAGGCCCAGCCCCGAGGCCCTTGCTAGACACGGCCTGGGCAGCAGTGACCGTAACCCCCAAAAAAAATCAGGCAGGCCCAAAACATTTATTCCATTTTAGTAATATTATTAACACTAAAAAATAACAAGCAGCCCGAGCCCAAACCACAACTCCAGCCCAACAGAGCCCGTGGGACAGAGTATTCGAGCCTTCCCTGAGTCTAGCTATCGTTTTTTCCCTATGTCATTTACACCTTACTCTTTTCTATGTATTTTATACGTGTATCAGTACTGACACATGGAAGTATTTTGGCCCTTGCATTTCCAGGTGTCAGTCTTCTAATATACCAACTCTCTGTATATCCTCACACTAATAAAATTCTTGGACCTATCAAGACTTCTCGAGTTGCAGCTGTGAGTTAAAACTGCTAGTGTTCAGCTGCAGATATGCTCTGTCTCTTCTGCCTGCATGTCTTATGCTGTGCCTGATCTTGCAGATTCTGTGCATACTTGTTCTCTTTGGATATCCCTTTATGACATATCTGTCAGGAACTGGACTATCGATCATCTTGAATATTGCATCGATCTTGAAAATTAATCTTGCTGTGAGTATTTTTCTTTTCTCCATCACCTTGACAGATTCCAAATAACTTGGAGAGCACTTAGGATCTGTATATATAATTCATGTTTATATTTTTCATCCATGATATGTTGTATCAGGCTACCATCATTTCGAGCAGTTTCATCCTTCAAAATAATGCTGTGGTATGTATGTCCCCATAAGTTAAGATGAATTCAACACCAATCTATAAAAGTGACTGGTGCAATTATGTAGCTGATTGATGAACGCCCAATTATTTACAGCCTCAAGACCAAAGAGGAGCTGCAAATGGACTGTCAGTGACAGTAATGTCCCTATTCAAGGCAATCGCCCCTGCAGTTGCAGGCACTGTGTGAGTATACTTGGTTACTAATCACTTTTGTGAGAATAAACTTTGGGTTTTTAGCACCAAATCCCTACTTCTATGTTGACTCCTAAAGCCATTGCACCAAACCCCTTCTTTGGCATTTTGGGTCCTCATGACTTGTTAATTACCTACAAATGCAGGTTTTCTTGGACACAAGCACGGCAGCATGCTTTCTTCTTCCCAGGTCAGTTTTTTTTTAAGTGCTAGAGGTAATGCAATATTTTACTGTGGTGTAAACTTTCACCTTATTCCTCCATATACACAGGTGATCAGATGGTGTTCTTTCTTCTCAATGTCATCGAGTTTCTTGGACTTATCCTCACATTCAAACCCTTCATGGCCGCACCAGAGTCCAGAGCGGTATGATAGGGATTAGTCTTTTTTTCTTCTGTTTTTTTAGTTACAGGAACATTGAATCATTCAGATCGATTATGATGTATATGATTTGACGATTACCAATTAGACAAATGCTAGTTGGTGCTCGCTAAACTGGGATGTCATGTCTTTTTTTTTTTTTTTTTTTTGGAGAGGAATGTCATGTCATTATTATGTCTACCAGTTGAGCTATTAGCATGGGATCCATTACGTGGCCATGGCCATCAGCCCATCAACATACATAGAGACATTAACATAGTGGGCTGTAGAGTCGGTAGGTATCAGCAATTCGGCCCACGCCGGAGACGCAGGCAGCTGGGCTACTAACGGGCCTTCTTCGCTCGAATTTTTTTTTCTCGCAGTTTCCAGTCAAACGCAGGAAAGAAAGCTGCGTGTTTCTCAAATAAAAAAAAGTAAAGAAAGTTCTGTGAAAGGAGAGGAAAAATGGTATATGCATCCTTGTAACTGTTACTGTCTGTCTCGATTAATTAATCATCAATGAGTATATATATAATCCGTCGTCTTGCTAATTCTATCATACTCCCTCAGTGCCAAAATAAGTGACGTTTTTAACTTTCGAATATCTTGTTTGACCGTTTGTTTTATTCAAAAAAATTTGTGTAAATTATAAAATAAATAAATCATTATTAAAGTACTAGTTATCTCTAATAATAAAACAAGTCATAACAAAAGAGATATTATTTATATAAAATTTTTGAATAAGAAGTCAAAAACCTCACTTAGCCCGGTTTAGTTGCCAACCCAAAATCCCAAAAAATGCTACAATACATATCACATCGAATCTTGCGATACGTGCATGGAGTATTAAATGTAGACGAAAAAAAACTAATTGCACAGTTTGGTTGGAAATTGCGAGACGAACGTTTTGAGCCTAATTAGTCCATGATTAAACATTAATTGTCAAATAAAAATGAAAGTGCTACGGTATACCAAATTCCAACTTTCATCAACTAAACACGGCGTTATTTTGGGACGGATCACATACGTATAACATATTTGTAGCAAGTGACGTGACGTTGGTCAGCTGTCGATCGATAATATAGGCCCCGTTCGTTGGTCTGAACTTTGGCTGAAACTGGCTGAAAAATACTGTTCCGACTGAATTGTTGTGAGAGAAAAACACTGTTCTGACTGAAAAAATAAGCCAAAACAAGCTAAATTTAAGACAAGCGAACGAGACCATATATGTATGTGGCTAACAATACAACCTTCTTGATTTCTGCGTGATAGGAATGGCTAGTTATTACTTTGAAAAGACCAATGTAGTACTACTGAATACTATGTATGCGTACGTGTCTGATCAGGCTAAATAGACAGATGCTCTGCTTCTGGTGTCAAATATAATGGTCACATATATATATATATATATATATATATATAACTACTGTTCTGCAGCTGGCCATAGAATAATTTATTCTGTGACTACTTTGAGTTACGATAGTTACTATACTAATTTACGAGACTACAGTAACTCCTTACTAAGTGATTTACTATAACATTATGTTAAATATCACCGTGAGTTGTAGTAACACGAGTATCGTAAATGCATATTCATATTATCGTAAATTGGTATAAACATTATCGTAAATCAAGGTGGCTATAGAATAAGTTATTCTATGGCCAGCTGCAGAATAGCCTTTTATATATATATATATATATATATATATATATATATATATATATATATATATATATATATATATATATATAGTCTTGTTCTGGTATTTGAAATGGTGTCTTGGATCTTGATCGATGGCTGTAAAATGGGCCGGGAGGGAGTGGATGCATGCATCCATCTCTTGCTCACTGCCCTCGTCGACTCCACGTTTTCGGTGGTCGCCGACGACGACGCGACGCTCCTCGTCGACGTTCATCCACCCTGCTAGAAATTATTAATCATATCATACAGGCTGTTGTTCGATGTACAACCAGCTCACCTTGATGCCAAGACGAGAGGAGAGGAGAGGAGAGGCAAGCCAAGGCAGCGAGAGAAATAAAATCAAACGTGCTGTGTGTGCTTACTTTACACGGGCAACACGTACGACAAAAAGATACATCGTCCCTATCGGCGCTGCTCCCCTCTCCCGCGAATCCGTGTAAACGTCAGTAGTTGGCTGCGTGGCATTTGCATCAATTAGCTCGAGTAGTGCAAGTTAGGTGGCTGTTTTCCATGGTCGTTGATGTACGACGGACGGCTCCGTCCGCGGACCGCGGACTGGAGTAATCAGCCTCATCTGGAGACTTGGGGGAGTAGTGCAAGTTCATTGCGACTCTTCTTCGTTCCTCTGCAGTAGTACGGTTGAGATCGAAATTATCTTGAGATGATGCATGCATGCAATGACGGAGCCAGAAAAAAATTATAGGTAGGGCGAATTCAACGAGAAAATGAACCAAAAAGACATCATATTTACAAAACACCGCATTTGCATGGCACAAAAATATTTTGTCAAATTGGCATACTCTGTTACGTTCTTGCTCTAATTTCAGATACTCATGAACTGAAAAAATCACAAAACAATACTTTTTTTTATTGTTGTTCTTGCCAATGCCACTCCTGGGGACACCTCTGCTTCAAACCTCGGCCGAATCCAGATGTTGGGGTAGTTGGTGCCCTTGCTCTACCGCTAACCTGACCGTGGCCATGGCCGGCCCCAGACCCCTCCTCCTCTCCTCCTCCCTCCATCGCCGGCTCCTGCTCCTCGTGGGGCGCCGGTGCACCTCGAGCATCTGGCGGTAAATTTGGTGAATTTTGGGCTGGGCACTGGCGGCAACCTTAGCGCTTAAATGGCGACTGTGGGTAGCGCCACGGGCGGTGGTGGCGCGCAGATGGCGGTGGTGTGGTGGCTGCCGGCGGGCGGCGGCAACCTAGAGCGCTCGATGGGGATTGCAGAATTGCGGTGCGGACGTGCGGATGCTCGATGCAGATAGTGTGCGCTCGATTGGGGAATTAGAGAGCCAAATTGGGCCCTTATTGGGCTAAACTAAACTGACAAAAAAAAGGCCCAGTGGGTTAGCAGGAGTCTTCTTCATCCGCTCGTTGCCCTGTTCGTTGGCTTGTCGGTCGTTGCCGTGGCGCCGCGCCGCAGCTTGCTCGGCAGCTCGCGTCCTCGGCGCTCGGCAACCGGAGATAGGGAAGAATAGGGGGGTCCGGGGGTCCGAGGCTACGCCGCCGGTAGCTGGGGCGGCTGCCCCACCCCACCCCTAGGGCAGCTCCGTCAGTGCATGCATGCATGATGATGATGATGAAACGAACCCGCGGCGAAACAAGGGTACGGTTGAGCGAGCGAGCGAGCAACGTGACCACGTTCGCTGATCTGAAATTTGGTTGAAACTAGCTGAAAACACTGTTCCGACTAAATTGTTACAAGAGAAAAACACTATTTCAACTAAAAAAAACTAAACAAGCCGAATATAGAATAAGCCAAAGAAGCACGCAACGCAAGCAGCCAAGCAAACAACCTCGACCTGACTGCTGTACCTCAGTGTCTCGCTCACCACCGATGATGACGCAAGTGCTGACGCCACCGTCTGGTATAGTATATGGTACTGTGCTGTGCTGGCGTCCGTGTACAATTATACTACTCCTCCAATGCTGGTTGGTGTCGAGGACGACGTACGGCTGATGAGGCCGCTACGACATTCATTTTGTTGCTGTATGTATGCAGACAGGCACGCTACCCACAGTACTGGCGGGGCAAGCCACTACCGGCAAATACGTATAAACAAATTCAGCAAGCTGGAAGTCAAATGACAAGTCACGACTGGAGTATATGCGGTTAGAGCATCTACGGCAATGGACTACCTATCCCCAATTTAGGCGGTGAGAGCCAAAAAAAAAAAATGGCTCCAGCAAACTACCAAGGGCCAAGTTCCTCTGTAGCGACTAGAAGAGGATGACATGTGGGTCCCGCATATCATCCTCTGCTAGGATGAATTTGGGTGGTCTATTTGTGGTAGTGTCGCCGGAGACGACAACAAAATATAGGTAGTATCAAAATTAGTAGCTACCCAAATAGATCTTTAGATAGTTCGATTTAGATAGCATTACTGAAGATGCTCTTATGGGACAAATGGCCAGGATAATTCTTCCCGTCTCGTCTCCTTCTATCCCATCCTCTTTTTAAAAAATTTATCATGCCTTTTTTTATGTTTGCATAAAAAACAGTAACCGGAGGGGTAAGGTGTTTTTTCCATCTATTTTTATGGAAATTTCTGTACGTTTTTATAGGCGGGATATGGGGATAGGCCTGTATTATACGGATTACATAAGCCTTGGTGGTCGTTATTATTGCAGCAACCTTTCAAAATTCGGTGTCTATGTCAAATGCAATGATAGTTCAGGGATTTAGAAAAGTCCTCATCAAACACTTCGACTAGGCTCCTAACATGTTATTAGGTGTGGGAACTTAAAGAAGCACGTCTGTATAAATAGGTAAATTCGTTGTAGCTAGAACACTCTTGAGTGGCGGTATTTGCTGACAGACACTACTTAATGTGTCTTTACTAGAAGATGCTATTCAACCATGGTAATTACCTAGACACTATAGCTATTAAAATATTATTTCTGAGAAGTGTATGGGAGAGAGAAGTTAAAAATAACCAAAATATCCCTGACTATTATAGTACAACCTTAGTACTTATCTAAAAATTCATAACTTTTGTATATGAAGTCGGGCGAGACAAATTTTATAACAAAATTTTATTGAGATTATAACTTTGTAGTTGCTGTTTTTTTTAAAAAAAAATTAAAATTCTTTTTTATTTGAAATTTATATTTTTCAAATGTCTGCGTTCGAAGTCATTTGAAATTTCTAAATTTTGAATTTTAGAATCTAAGAAAATAAAATGAATATTTAGGACTCTAAATGACTTTGGATAAAATTGTCTACAAAATTATAGACCTCATTGGGCACTACAATTTTGATGGTCTATCTGCATCGATGTTCCTCTAGATGCTTGATTAGTCGCAC